TCTTCTGGTCCTCTCCATCCCAGAAGTCTTCAATACACTTCATGCAGAAGCTGTGTCCACAGGAAGTAGTCACCGGATCCTTCAGTAGATCCAGACAGATGGAACAAGAGAAACTTTCTCTGTCCAGCTGAACTCCTTTCTGCGCCATTTCACCTCTCAGCGTCTGTGGAAGTTTCACTTCCTGATAAATGAAACCAGTCTGAAACCAGTCTGAGCTCAGATCGACACGTCATGTGTTTGTGCAGAGAATGAGGCGTGTCAGCACCTCCTCTGATCATTAAACTGTAGATCTGATGGGGCGGAACAAGAAACTCCGTGAACACCGTCAGTGTGTTGCTCCTGCAATAATAGTATGGCAAGCCATTTTAACATAAAATCGGATTCACCACACTTACATTCCAGATATCTGAAACTGATTTATGACTAGACATATTAGTTATTTGAGATATCTCTAATTACATTCTGACTAGTGTAAATGACGTCAGATTTACCACTGAGTTGTATGGAGGCTTCAATTCAAGATATTGAATTTTGACTAGTCAAAAATACAGTTCTAGATATCTCTAAGTTAATTTTGACTAGTCGTTATTTGCTTTCAAGATATCTTGCTTTTAGTTCTGACTAGTCATAATTACGTTCGAGATATCTTGAATTGTAATTACAGATGTTTGACCCTTCAAATGACAAATCAGGTGACGTCATTTAAAATATCTTGAATTGTTATTCTGACTAGTCAGAATGTAAATACAGATATCTTAAATTAGCATTCTGACTAGTCAAAATGTAATTGTTCCTAGTCAAAACTCATTTTAAGATATCTAGAATGTAACTACAGATAGTCAGACTACTCGATTTTATGTTAAAAGGGCTTGCCATACCGCCCACTACTTGATGCTCACGTCACAAAATTCATTGTCAATAATCCATCCAGGTACCATCCATCCATCTATTATCTTTACTAGCTTCTTCCATTTTGGGTCACTGGGGTCACTGGTGCCCATGTCCAGCAATCACTGTGCGAGGGGCGGGGGACACCCTGGACAGGTCGTAAGTCCATCACAGGAACACATAGAGACAAACGAGACAAACAACCATTCACTCTCTCACTCACACCTAGGGACATTTTAGAGTTACCAATCAGCCTAACATGCATGTTTTTGGTCTGTGGGAGGAAACCGGAGCACCCGGAGAAAACCCACGCATGCACGGAGAGAACATGCAAACTCCACCCAGAAAGGCCCCTGGACCGGGGTTTGAACCAAGGACCTGCTCGCTGAGAGGCAGCAGCTCTACCAGTTGCACCACCGTGCTGTCCTAATCCAGGTACCAAATCCAATAATTCTCAGTCAGGTCATGTGGACTTCACGTCATCCATTAGTTTTCTTGCTCACTGGTACTAACATAGCAGCGACTTGCCAGGTCAACAGTCATGAAAGATGGCAGAGTTGTATGAACTTCGTTCAGCTCAGGTAACTTTAGCAGATTAAACTGAGAGGGTTTACATTCTCAGAAGATACAGGTGTCGTGACAAAAAGTGATGGGGCTGCCAAAAATCGATCGGCGCAGCGGGAGCACGCACGGGAGGACTAACTGTTGAAGTTCTTTGAATTTAACAAGACTGACACGTAAAAAACATTCTTTGTTTGCTCTAAATGATAGCAAAGGTGTGTCTCCCATTGGAAGGAGGGTGTCGTTCGCAGTCATTGCTGCCTGTTACACCATATTCTGTGACCACCGTATAATGTGACAGTAGGGGGCGCTGTAGCATTTTTACAACATACTTTGTGTACTGTAGGAGATTATATCTATGCTGTATCTGACATGCGCCATCATATTCTGTGACCGTCTGTACAAGTAGGTATCTCTGCAGACAAATTTGGAAGGCGTAGAAAGAAAGAAAGAAACAAATTGGTGTCAGATTCCATCGTGTGTGTCCAGTATTAGTTTTGTTACCTATATAAAAAGAAACATAACATATCATCTAACACATTTAGTTATTTGTAAATTAAGTAAAACAAAAAATAAAGTATTAAAAAAAGTTTGTTTTTTTTTAATTATTTTCTTGATATTTGCGCTTTCGGCTGGTAAAACCAGGGTTTTGTTGTAATTTGTTTTTTGACCACCCGGTGGCGCTGTGACAAATCTTCGCCTCAGAGAGTGACTTGGCAACAAAATCTGTGTCGGTAAACGTTGCTAAGGAAGTTACGGAGTAATTTTAAAACAAGCGCCCTGAGGCCAACTGTTTACTGAAGGTAAATTTTTTTTTGAACTGGGAAATTATTATTGATTCCAGAAATTTAAAATGACCGACGTCAGCTAATGTTTTAAACGATAGAAAACAACTTCCGGTTTGATCGCTATTTAGCTCAGCTAGCTATATGGGTTTTAAGATGCTGCTATGTTAGCATTTAGCTCTTTGATAACTAGCAGAATAGAAACGAACTGCTTGTTTCAACATAACTCTGGCACAGTCGATGGATGAAATGCACATATATATGTGTGGTAATAATATTCATTTTGTTGCACTGGAAAACTAAGACGGTTATACCAAAGTTCATGCTCAATAATACAGCTAAAAATCCAACAATGTTCAGTCAGGTCATCTGGACGGTTTCTTTTTTTGCTGAGATGTTTCGTCCTTCATCCAAAGAACTTCTTCAATGTGAGGAGCCCCCAAACCAACTGTTGCAAGTGACGGTTATAATAATTTTCGCAGTTTGCTAACAGCACTAATATTGCATACACTTTATTTGCATGATGTCTTTAAGGATTTGCAGTATTTTACGAATACATTATGTTGTATATCTGCAGGTGTTTTGCAATGACAGAGCTTTATCCAGCTGACTTCAGATGGTTTCAGAAATGAGAAGAGGATGGCTGAGAATGGAGAGGACTGCACCCTGTATCAACCCTGCAAGGTTTCTGATAAAGGAAACTGTAGTGGCCTTGACAGCAGGACAAACAAAACCTTTGTGGGTGTAAATTCTACCCAGGAGCACAACGATGACTGTACATTTGTTGTTGGAGATGCAGGAGGCGAGATCACTACATACCTACCTCAGCCGCCCGTGGTACCCAGACTTTCAAAGTTCAGCAAAAAAAGTGTTTCATTGGAGGCAACGTCAAGAACCTGGAGGTTAAGAAACAGCCAGGAGAGCCTGAGTGACAGAGCTGAAACTGGCTCCTCCACCGACTCTCTTAAAGAAGACCAAAGTGTTCTCAGTGATGTTGGTACTGTCGGGAATGAGCAGGACTCTCGTGTGAGACCTCGATCTGTACTCTCAACAGAATCTCCAGTCTTCGAGGACAGAAAGAGCAGTCTGTCAGAGTATGAAAGGAAGCCACACAGCCAGGTGCATGTCCTGGAAAGACATCTGAAGAGGTCTGCCAAGGTACGGCTGTCCCCAGTGCAGCCTGCAGGGCCTAGTCCTGCTTTAGAGAAGAAAGTTGCCTCAACCATTTCAAGGGAAGCTAATAGGATTGATAAGGATTGCTTGGATAATGCCATTATGGTGAAAGAGAAGACTGAAGATGGAATTCACAGGAACAGGAGCCGGCTTCAGGAGACAATGGGGGATAGTGCCTCTGTAAATTCTATAAAGTCCTTATACAGCATCCTTAGCCCCATCAAACCCGAGGATGTGAGAAACAGGTAATGCAGACTTAGCAGATCATGTAAACGGTGGAGTTAGAGGATCATCAGGTTGGCTATTAAGGACCTTTTGTGCATTTTATTCTTCCTGGTTTATATGCCAACAATAGTTGGGGGTATGAATTTAGTATACAACAGAAAACTAACCACATGGAAAGCTTTTTCATTTCAATCATTTAAAATAATATATTTATACAGAAGCACATTTTTATTTGCTGATAGGATAAGTTTAAGAAAATGTAGATTTTGCCTCTTATACTTATAATATGCTGTGCATAATTAATTCTTGTGTCTCAAATCCACTAAGGTTGTATTTAGTACTAGTTCTGCTTTGTAGGAAGAGCTTTTTGAATTTAAATCTTAGATGAATAGTGACTGAGAAGACTTTAGCCTATGAAAGTTAATCACAGTTAAATTACAAGGAAGTATTTACCCATCAGGCGTGGCTAGAGGTACTGGCTGAAGTCTTAAAAATCTTCAGGAATGAACTGGTGTTTCCATTATCGTCTTTAACGTAAGAAATACTGCAGGAAAGGGTGAAGGACCTTAGATTAGGTTTCCTACACAGTCTTAAAAGTAAAGAAATTTGATTTTGAGTATTTTCCAAGACTAAAAAAGTATGGAAAAATGTGTCTGCTTTACTATTGCAAACGCTGTTTGTGTGGATGGGAGGTACAAATACAGCAGAAAAGCTCTTGTTTTTAAAAATAGTTGTGCCACCAAGGTCAAGAAAAGGTGCTTCATAACACATTGATTTTTTTTGACCAGTGCCTTAGGCCCCAGATATCACATGTTCATGCATGTAAACGTGCTCAAATCTTTAAAGGAAGAAGTGTTGAAAGGGATTAACACTGGATCAGATAAAATGCTTGTTCAGGCTATTCTTTTACACGAGGATGAGCTGAAACAGGTCACAGTCTACAGTTTTAAGCTTAATTTAACTATAGTCAGCAACTTTTGGATTTTTTTTTTTTTTTGTTAGGTAAGAACTTTGCTTTTACCTTTTATGCATCTTGCAAGTCAAATAAAATCTGAGAGAAAAGTACAGGTTGTGCTTTGGTGCCTCTCTTCCAGGAGCTTCCTGGAGGGCAGCATGCTGGGAAACGGTGCCTTGCTCGGGGCCGAGGAGCTGGACCGGTACTTCCCCGACAGGAGAGTAGGCGTCTACGTCGTCACATGGAACATGCAAGGGGGGAAGGTCTGGATCTGCATCATCTCGCACACCAAGCCCAGGGAACAACTGAGCTATAACTGAGCTTCTGTCCTTTTCAGTTCCATTCAGCCTGCTTGAATGATCTCCTCCTTCCAACAGACTCTGAATTTGCACAAGATTTTTATATCATTGGAGTTCAGGAAGGCTGCCCTGACAAGTTGGGTTTGTCTGAAAGAATTGTCTTGTAATTTACTACACAGTGGTTGTTGTGATCTTGGTTATATCAGTCTGTCTGTGTCTGCAGGAGGGAGTGGGAGACATGTCTTCAGGAGACTCTGGGACCTCACTATGTGATGCTGTACACAGCCTCACATGGAGTTTTGTACCTCAGTGTATTTATTAGGAGAGACCTCATGTGGTTCTGTTCAGGTCTGTTCTGCTTCACCTAAAGAATCGATTTGTTCTCCTGTATTGTTACAACTGTATATATAATTCAGATACATTTAATCTAGAATTATAGGCAAGACGCCTGCAGCTCCTTGGCTTGAGTTTAGGTCCCTCAAAAAGGTTTTCAAGGTTTTCAATCACCTGGCGAGTTTTAAATATACTCATTTATTCTGTTAAATGTCAAAATCCAGTAAAAATTACCTACGTTTTTTTTTTCCCAGACAAAAACCTCAAAAAAATAATCTTGTGATTAAATATAAAGGAAAACAGAAACTGCTTTTTGAGATGCTCCAACCAGAGAACATAAAACGTCCTCATTGCAAAAGTGTGTCCACTTCATAAAAGTGATATCAGAATGTGAAAATGGAATAGACTGTCACATGTTTTCCTCGAATAAATGATAGAATATTAAGATAATTTCTAATAAATAAAAAAATCTGCTTTTTGTAGCTTAAATGGTTTTGTAATGTATTTGAAACTTTGAATATAAGTTTAATAGAAATTAGTATCGCAGTACCTTAGCAACTGTCTTGAACAGTTTTTGTCAATGCCTTCATAAAATAATCTGATCAGAAAGCACGTGTCTCAATTTTCAACAAAAACTCTGTCCTGCTACAAAAATAGGTCATTCCGTCATCGTTCTCACGTGACAGAGTTATAAAACAGTTTATTTTCAACACACTACATGATTGTGTTCAAACTGAACTTGGTTTTATTAAAAGCAACGTTTCCTCTGCCGACGTTCAGAGGTGGAGCACGCGACGGTCACAACCAGGATCATCTCCCAGATCAAAACCAAAGGAGCCGTGGGCGTTACCTTTACCTTTTTTGGCACTTCCTTCCTCTTCATAACGTCCCACTTTACATGTGAGTCGAAGACACGAACTTCTGATGTTTTGGAAAATCTATTTAGGTACAACTAATGGTTGTAACGTTTAGCGTGGTTCTTCCTACAGCTGGAGATGCCAAAGTTTATGAGAGAATTCTGGACTACAACAAGATCATCGAGGCTTTAGGTCTTCCTAAAGGCATTCCTGACACCAACCCTTATCGTTCAAACCCATGTAAATATTAACAGTTCTTAAATTGTATTTTATTCCATTTTTAACCTGTAAACTTCTGAGTACACCAAACATTTTCAAACGCGGTCTATTTCTTTTTGCAGCTGATGCCACCTCGAAGTTTGATCAGGTCTTCTGGTTTGGTGATTTTAACTTTCGGCTAAGCAAGAATCGGTCTGACGTGGAGACCATCATGAAGCAGACAGCTGGCGACGTGGGCCTTCTGCTGGAGCACGACCAGCTCTCCAAAGAAATGAAAGATGGTATGTATGAGTGAAGCTGAAGCTTCAAACCGCTCAGTCGTTTGTTCGAATTTCTATTTGTCTACAGGTTCGATCTTCAAAGGTTTTCAAGAGGCGCCAATAAACTTTCCCCCTACGTATAAATTTGACATCGGCTGCGATACCTACGACACCACATCTAAACAGAGGACTCCTTCATACACGGTAACAGCAAACATCTAAAATAATCAGATGCTGCCTAAACCCGTGAAACATGAGGGTTTCTGCGTTGACAAGTTGCAAATTGAAACGTTTTGTGTCCACAGGACAGGATCCTGTTCAGGAGCAGGCAGGCTAATGACATATCTGTGCTGAAATACAACAGCTGCTCGGTCGTCAAGACTTCAGACCACCGACCTGTCGTCGCCGCCTTTCAGGTTAAACTCAGGCCGGGAAGAGACAAGTGAGTCCCTCTGACAATTAAAGCACCTCACTACTAATCTGTGTCTGTCTGCATGCGTCAGTCGTTTTTAGGAGACGCTCTACAAGTACTTGTTTAATGCTTTTATGATTTGTTAAACTGTAGTTCTGTGTTGTGGTTGTGTGTGGTTTTTAAAAAGATGCAAAACTAGAAACTGTTTTGTGCAAGTTTTTCAGACAAAGAAACTACAAAATAAAAAATTCTGCATCAGCACAAAATCCAGCTTTTGTTAAATGTTGATCACAGCATGACATCACCGGCCTTTATCACAAGAGATTAAGAACAAAGCAAGTGGACGTTTTGCTTTTTATCTATTCAAATAAAAAGTAAACGGTTCTGTGTTTTGAATCTGCGGTGATGTTTCTGAGAGCTGACATCACACACTCTCACTCGCAGGAACAGAGCACCTCACTGCTCTTTAAAAGCTTCAAACTCTTTTCATTTGAGTTAACAAAAACATCTCATAAGAATTCAAACTTTAGCTAAAAAGAATAAAGTCAATTTATTTTGGGTTTTAACTTTTAGGATCGGCCAAGTCCTGGATGACAGAGAATCTAGACCACATGTCAAACTCAAGGCCCAGGGGCCAAATGTGGCCCTCATTGACATCTTATCTGGCCCCCAAGATGATCTGTTAAACGAAAAATACTTTTATCACTTTCATTTGTCAGTAATCTTTGATTATGATGTAAAAAAGTGCAACAGAGAACATCCAATGAGATCAATCAAACTCTTGAGGAACCTGCAACCAAGAAAAGATGTTTGGTATCTAAATTGAGCGGATGTAGATTCTGAAACTGGCCCATAGTTTGAAAAATGTTTTTAATTTTGGCCCCCTTTTGCGAGTTTGACACCCTTGATCTAGACAAACACGCTGTCCCTTGTAGTCTTTGTCCTTTTACATAGTTCTGTCAGTGTTAGACAGATGAAAACGACCCGTCCTGTATTTGTTTTTGACAGTATTCCTTTGTGCGGGGGACTGTTTGATCGAACTCTGTACTTGGAGGGCATCAAGAGGAGGATGACTGCCAGAGAGCAGAAGAGGAAGGAGGCTATGAAAAACCAAAGTAGCAGCACCGTCTGCAGCATCTCCTGAAAGGAACTCGAAGGGATGGACTGGATCAAACTGCCACAGGTAGAAAAGGAGCAAAAAGGAAACCGCTCTCGTCTTAAAAAGCAGAGCACATCAGCGTGTGGGTGAAGCTGGCTGCACTTGCACAGCAAACCTTAAGGCTTGCAGACGGAAGCCGTCTTTATTTATTCAACCTTTTCTGCCCCAACATGGCTGGGACTGACCATCGTGGCTCCACGTTCACCGATTTAACCAAACTCTGGATCTGCATCCGTGTAAGCATTTTAAAAGCATCATGACTCATAATGTTACCTTTTTATGCCTCGCAATTTATAATGCACTAAACACAACTGAGGTGAACATTTAGGTCTCGACTTACTTGAATTTTAACGTTTCTACGGAGAGACGTCACGAATGAGGGTACAACTCGTTACGGTTTCAGGGAGATCTGATGCATTTAGTTTTTACTTTTTGTCTAGGAATTCACTACCTATAAACGGTTCTAAACATTCTGATTAGAAATGCTTGTCACTCCCATCATTAGGTTGAGTGTTTGTCTGCAGCAAACTCGTATATTATAAACTATGTACTGTATGTAGCACTTATGAACTTTCATTCGAATCTTAAAAAGCTTTATACTGATTTTAAAAAGTGCCTGAGTGTCTCAATTTTATACCAACAAAAACTTTCCATCTTAATCTACAACTTTTTCTGTAACATCCTGTAATAAATGTTTCAAAACCTGCACAACCTTCTTTGTTGGCTAATTTTTTTTTTTTTTTACAATTGTGCAAAGAAACAAACTCATCTCTCTCCAACAAGGATTGTCCAACGGTCACTGTCAAGGTTCAGCTGGTTTAATCCCAACAAAAACTAAATCATGAAAACATGTAGCAGTTTAATAATAAGTTCTTCACAACGTATAAAAACACAACCGTTTACTTGTTAACGTCAAGAAATACCAGAAGAAACAGTCCGGAACAGAAATACAGTGCAAAGTTGCCATTTTTAAATTGAGTTGTTTCTGCACAAAATATGCGGACATGTTTTTACTGTTAACTTGAAGGTTTTTATAAACATTAAAATACAGTTTCCTAGGTTTACATGTTTTGTCAGTTCTGTTAACGGGATTAAACTTTGACCCACACTGATCTCGTGCATTTCAAGCCAGATCTGTACTTTAATTTACCCATTTCACTTCTGACACAATTAAACAAATAAACCACATTTAAAGCCCCTTTACAGAATTTCATTAAAACTATAATTTCAGACTTTTGGGCAAACCATAAAGAAATGAATACTCAAAAACAAAAAAAAACAAAACCATTGTTTATTGTTCAAGTACCTTTAGCTGTGCATCACAACCTTATTTATTTAAAGGTTTATAAAATGTTCTTGTATGAATACTTCAGCCTTTTTTTTTTTAAGTTTTACTTGACTCACGTTGGGAAAAAGCTTTTTCTTTATAGTTGAAGCTACAATAAAAAGTGAAACAGCTCTCATTACTCATAAACATACTGCAGGATAGTTTTGGAAGGTTTAAAGGGAAATGTGAAGATTTAGTCTTTTGGGGCCAACAGTCCTTTTAGAGACAAACCAAGCCGGCAATTAATGGTTTTTTTTTTTTTTTTTGCCTATAGACAATAAATAGAAGATTTCCATCTCTATCCAGATTAAGATAAGTTTCTTTAAAATCTCATCCTCAAGTCAAGAGAGACCAGGTTTTAGTCCCCTCCCAGAATGAGCGTGCCGAGTTCTTTGTTGGGAAGGGGACATTAGTGTAAGCACCCAGTCTGGTTTATTTACAGGGGTTGGCTGACATCTATCGGAAAAGACGGTAAATACGGGGCAGACGTCCATCTTTGCTCGACAGCGCGGCCTGAATGTGTTCGTACGAAGGCAGCTCCGTCAGGTCTCCCAACGCTGCCACTGCAGGTTTACTGCGCAGCATCTTGGTGGTTATTTTTTTAATGTCACCGGCTGTCACGCTGCCTACAAGGAGTGTAAATAAATTATTCCACAAGTTATGCTGAATAATAAAGACAATGGATTACATTCTTTACAAACTTACTAATGAGATCACACAGCTCCTGTGGCAGCTTTCGCCTTCCATTAGAGAGAACTTGTCGTCCAACGTCCTCAAAGATAACAGGCCGCGACTCCAGATTCATCATCAGCATGGACTTTAGCTGAGTCTTGGCTCTCTCCAGCTCCATCTGGGTGTACAAGGAGAATAATTTAGTTATTTACATTGTAACAATAATTTAAAGAAAACTAGTATGCCATGATCCTTACCTCTCCTGTACTTGCACCCATCTGAATGAACTCTCTGGTTATAATTTCCACCATCTCACGAACCTGGAGATGTACGTTGACAGCAAAAATAAATAAATAACACACCTCATGAACCTCATCTACAACACATACCAATAAAATGTAAAACAGGTTTATCATATTCTTTAAATATTTTCCAGCACGTATATAAAATCATATCGTTTGTAATAGTTTTATTACGACAACATTTTTGCCAGACAGATATTAAATGCGTTTTTAAAGCATTAACAAACAAGACCACAACATACACATGCCCAAGTCAAATTCATTATTTCCCAAAGATTTTGTACTTTCAGATTAAATCCCTTTTTTTTTGACAAGACAAAAGTAAAGTAACTGGTCCGCCTTTTATTTTGCCTTTCAACCCTGGGCCAAGTGCCATGTGGGATGCTCGTACATCAAAAGTGGCAGAGCTGCCTTGAAAGGTTTGAGCCTGCAAAAATGGGCTTTGGAAGTCCTCTGGATGGGGGACGAAACGTTTCCCACTTAAAGAAACTGGTCCAGATGACACAATTTAACCTTTTTTGTTGTTATCCATCTACCAGGATGATTGAGCTTACAACCCTTATTCTTTTGCAAACTGGTTAAAAACCTAATAATCAGAGCCACAATTGCTCATTTTGTGCTGCAGAAACTTACAAAAGAGTGAATAATGAAAGCTGGTTTAAATAAGCTTTTTATGGTGTAGTAACAGTATATGTGGTGCACAACTGGAGAAAATCAACAGAGAGTATTCTCTCATCTCGACATTAAATGTAATGAAAGTAAATGCTGATTTGAAATAACTGTCAAAACCAATTATGTCATCAGCTGATAAAATTTTGCCTTAGTGACTTTATTGTTTTGAACTGGTTTTGAATCAAAAGCCAGTTTCCCATCTCTTGCTGCTGTACGAACCTGTCTGGGGTCAGCACTGGCGTGGATACACAGCAGGCCGCTGTCCTCGTAGTTGTGATGGTAGGAGGTAGCGTTGTACATCCAGTGATGCCTGCAGCAGACAAGTAGAATAAACTAACATAAATACTGGATATTATTCAGAAGTGAACTTTAGTCTCAATTATAGTTGGTGATGCTCACCTGTTGAGGACATTCAGGTACAGGCGGGTGAACATGCCCTTCCCTGGTCCTCCTGCAGAGAAGGAGCCTCCGCCCCCCATCATCATGTTCAGAACTGCAAAACGAATGAAGTCGTCTTTCTGTGAAACACAGATATTTTACCCAACATGCATCACACCACTGACTGAAACTCTTTAATACGCTGCAAACACCAACCAGGAAGGAGCAGCTTTCTAAGCCGATCATGATGTGAGTGAGTTCAGGGATCGGTGTGGGGCCGAGGCTCACGTTGGACATGTCCTTCTCCATCTAACACATAAAATAAATATGATCATATTTACATTGTGCAACCAAAACCACCTTTCATGTAACATCAGCAGACTTGGAAATACCTTCACCATGCCACCAGTGTACTGAGCCACGGAAAGGTCCACGTTAGCAGCGGAACTCGTTCCCCACACCGGCTTCACTCCCAGCAGATACTTCTGGGCACATTCCACCAGCTGCTCGTGCTCGATGCCCACGCCCGCCAGCACCATGCGCTCGGGACGGTAGTAGTTTTGCAGGTAGCTGTGGAGCACATCCTTGTCGATCTTGTCCACATTTTCTGCAGGACAAAAGCGAGGCAGTCCGACTGTGTTTCCTCGATACGCTGCCTGGAAATGATTGAGTTGACGGATTAGCTCTGGAGTCCAACACCTCAAGCAGAACAATAAAATAATGCGCAACGACAGAAAGCAGTTACCAACACTAAGTAGGACTTGAATCCTTAGTAATATTAAAACTACAGCAAATATGTTTTTATCCACATTTAAGCAGCTGAAACTGATTTGAAGCAACTTCCCAGACATCCAACAGTGGTTTCACAGAATCGGCTTACATTAATATCAGTAGCTGCACTACGGGTAAATACAGAAAAGAAAATAAGAAAACGTCTGTGATGTAAGATTCTTAGGGCTGATTGTAAATGTAACAAATACAACTCAAATAAACTGAAAAGAGATGATGGTAAACCAATTTTTGGTAATGCTGCATGATATATATTTAATTGTCACCATTTACACACAAAATAATTTGACGACTGGTAAAAAGAGATTTTGGGTGGAGGTATTCTCACACCATATATAGATATTTCCCCATAAATGTTCTGTCTCTGGTTATTAAGAATGAATATTTAGCAGCTAGCTTATTTAACTTTTCTTGTAAATCAAATTAACTTCATTTTCTTATTACATATTAAGAAATGTTTATATAATTGGCTTCTCCAAACTAAATGTGTCTCTAAACAACTACCCTGTTGTCTTCTCTCAAGCGCTTGAGTTAAGGACGAATGGACTTTCTGTTTTGGATCCTGAAGATGTTTTACTTAGTGGAACGTCCTCTTCAGCTCAAAACTCAAGAACCAAACAGGAAGTCCAGCTGCTTCTGTTCAAACCCTCAGGATGACACTGGATGGCAGAGAATTTACACTGATCGATTTTGTTGCACTGCTTTTGTTTTTATGATTATGAAGCACTCAGTTTTACAAAACGGAGAACAGTACCTGCTTTTAAAAATTGTGCCATGTGTCATCACTGCATGTTTCTACACAATGACGAAATCAGTTCTCTGCGTTTAACCCATCACACGTGAGATACACCCAGGTGGAGCAGTGGGCAGCTATGCAAGTGCCCGGGGAGCAGTTAGGGATTGGGTGTCTTGCTCAGGGACACCACGACATGTGGGAATGGCTGGGAGTCAAACCTACGACTTTCTGGTCCCAAGTCAGCTACCATACCTCTACACCATCTCAGTCCCAGTCTGTGGAGCTGCGCCCCTCCAGCTTATTAACTGTGACGTGAATTTTTAGAGATTTTGATCCAACCTCATTATCTCAAGATAAACAGGTACTTTTATTTATTTTTTTTTATTTTTTTTTAAGCTTTGCTTCTGAGCTAATGAGAGGATCAGAGTGATTCTTGTGTTACAGCCAGTTTGGTTCAGTACCGCTGTCACAACACTTGGAGATGATCCTTAATAATATTGGATTGATAAATGATGCATGATTTTCTGATTAAATCATGACTGTTCTGATTTCTGATGAAGTATCCATTTTGTTTAATTGGGCTTTTGAAACAATTTCTACTCCTCACAAGAATCTTACATTCGTAGACTCTGAAGAGTCACTGATGTCAATTTAGTTAATAACGTTGTGGCAAATGTCACTCACCGAGTGGATCATCTCTGTGAGTAACGGCTCCGGATCTGGCCTCATGTTTAGGTCTTCCAACTCAAAGCGCACAGCCATTCTGGTCATCTCGATCTCTTCATCTGCATTCAAACAAACAAACAAACAAACAAACAAACAAAAACGGTTTACTTCTGTGAAGAAACTCAAACTGTTCTCTGGGAAGTAAAATGAACTCACCCAACAAGCGAGGCTGAAGGACAGTGTCAGAGAGAAGACCAATCACGGTGTCCAGACCTTTCACTTCTGCAGACACCGCATACATGGTGGTGTCTCTGAACAGGAAGAGATACGTCACAGTTACTGACAGATTCACAAAGCTTTTATTTTTTATTCATTCTGTAACAAGTCCAAACTGTGTTAATAACCTTGATGTTTGACAGTCACAAATGCCCCCGTGTTTTTCCAATGTGAGAAGGATTTCATCTTTACTCCCGTACTGTGCTGTAGACTAAAGAAAAAAATATTTAACTTTACTTTTCACGCCCGAACGTCTTGAAGTTTTTACGTTGGATTATGTTTATTTTTCATTTTACTTACGGAAAAGGCGAGTTTCTCTAAAAAGTGTGCTATTCCACTTGGGTACTTTGCTTCATGTCTAGATCCAGAATTTATTAAAACTTTAAAAAAAAATTAAAAAAAGAGAAAAAAATGAATTTAGACAGGAAAATTAAAACAAGTGTATATAAATAACATTTGTATTAAATATGCAACTTACTTCCAACTGTGCAGAATTGACCAAATTTATTTTGAGAGGCGACTTTGAGGCCGTTTTCTAAAGTTGTAATTTTGGTCTCGTATTTTTCCTGGCCATCCACAGAGGCAAACACTGCTTTGGGGATGCCGGGGAGTGGCGCAGAGAGAGAGATATTAGGGTATCCACCACCACTGCTGTATTTTCTGTAAGCTGCAATCCCAAACCTTTCACAAACAATAAAAGCAAGTCAATGCTTTTTTCAGAAAAAAAAAACAACAACTTGTAATTAGCAAAGCATGATTAAACCATTACATGCACATGCAGTGCTTGTTGTGTGAATGCTTCTTGTGTTCAGTAAATTAAAATATAAAATGTATGAATATTTTAGGGGATAAAAAACTAACTTTTTTAAACAATGCTATCTAATAGCTGACAGGAAACATTATCCAGAAGACCCCTCCATGAGCGGTTTTCTTGTGCCAGATATCATTAAAGGCATGCAGAGCCTCTACTGGCAAACTGCTAAAAAACTAATTCAATCAGTATTATTGATCAGGCACAGGAAAAGACCCAACTGATAAGTTTTATAGCTAATGTTTTGAAGTAAAACAGTTATGTATTTTAAACTTGTAAACTTTGCCCCTTTTCTTGTCTAAAAACTGTCACCACTCAACATGATAAATACACAAATATATTTCTCCAAGGAAACATATTATCGTCATTTCTGGCTTTTATTCTGAGATAAAGTAACAATTCTGCATTTAAAAGCAAAACGTGTAAAAAAAAAAATTGTCATGATTCCTTAGTTCACATACAGCCACAATTATTTCTCTTAAAAACATTTTGTTTTGGATAGAAAGCCTTGCAGAATTCATTAAGAGTGAAGTATAATAACTTCACCAATCAAGTTTTAAATAATTAGAAACAAAAAATGCTCAAATTGATCGGTCCATGAGGGTAAAAAGTTGAAAGTAACTGTAAATCTTACAGAGGAACGTGTTATTTCATGGAACTGGATTTACTTTTTCAGTCATAAGTGTGTGTAAGTATCTTACTGGATGCCCTTGCTGTTATGTGTGCAGAGTAAGAAAAACTACAGTAGTGAATAAACTAGCAAATATGGAATACTAAAATGTTTTGTAAGACAATTGCATTTAGAAAAAAAAGTCAACTAATTCACTTCTCTAACAAGAAAAGGCAATTGCTATTTGCTGTTAGCTAAAAGGAAATGCAATGGAAACAGTTTAGTGTTGATGAATGAGTTTTTGTTATATGCATGGATCATTTGTTCCAACATGAAGTTTATGATAGAAGCAGAAGACATACAAAGTTTAACTTACATAAACTAAATAAGGTGTCCGGAATGAGTACTTGACAAAAACAACTTTGCAAAGACCAGAGCTCCAGAAGCTCTGCACAATTTCTACAGCTAGACTTTATTTTTACTTTGTAAAAAACGCCAGTAATAAAAATAGTTCAATTGGAAGTTATTAATTCGTTGTCCTCATACCAAATAAGTAAATACTGCACATAAATAAAAGAAGAGATAAGTCCTGGAACAACTTTGCTAAAAACAAAACCAGACAACAAATCATAAATAACCACCCATAAATCTCCAAACTTAAAATTTAGGTTCATGTATAAAGCCAGAAAAGATCTGTAAAATAATTTCTCATTAATTTAAAAGCGATCTTACAATAATTTCTATTGAAATACAACAAACGGTTAGCACTTAGCATCATGCTAATCGGTGGCTAATCTTTGGAAATGGACGCACGTGTCCATAAAGCGCGCGACATGGCACATTTCTGGGAGCACTGTGTTTCCGTTTCGAATTGTTTAGGTTTACAAGCGTCAGTGGCAAATGTATTACCTCTGAACCCGACTCCAGGTACGACATCTCGACATGTGAGTCGCCATTACGCTCGTAGAAGACGGAAATTAACCCGGAAGATATAGCACGCTCCGCGCAGTCACTTCCGGTGAAGAAAATAGTCCTCTGTCAGAAGGTCGGGGTTCGTCATTTTGTTGCAACCACATTGTAGAAAACAAAGTAGAAAACTTTCATTTACCGTTTTATAACGTATGGGTTTGACTCATTTTTTAAAATCCCCTGTGCACAAGATGATAATTTAATCCTTTATCTTAATAAAGACAAATCATTTTCATTATTTCATTCAACCTTTATTTATAAAGATATTTATTTATACAGGTTAATCCCACTGAGTCACAGGGACTCATTTACAAGAGCGACCTGGTTTTAACAGAGTGATGGTGGACAGCAATAACAACAATAGACAATCATAAAGGATGCATACAAATTGAGAATAACAAGTGCAAATAAAATGACACTTAAAAGAAAATGTAACAAAAAAACAAACAACAACTAAAGTTGTAAGATGATGCAGAAAACTAAAAACAAGAACATGTCTGCATTGGTTTTATCCAGGAACATACAACTTAAAACAACTTTTTACATCAATCTTAATGTTCCAACGCACTCCATGTTAGCCTATACCTTTTCCCACTATTTTTATTTTATTTTATTTTTTTTTATTAATTCATCTTGCTTTTGTATAGTAATTTTGTTTGGAATATATTTTGGGGACAAGGGGCAGATATTATAAGAACTCATTCTTCTTCTGCTGCCTTTCATTTTATTTCTGTGATTGTATATCTTTTATCTTTTCTTTAAATTGTATTATATTTGTTGTTTGGATGAAATGAAATGAATAAATAAAACATACAA